CGGGAGGAGGAGGAGGAGGAGGAGGAGGCCGGGGTGTCCCCCCCGCCACGGGAACCTCCAGCCCGGGGCGGGGGGTGCGTGTGTGGAAATCCCGGCTCCCCTCCTTCCACCCACATGCGCATTCCTCCGTGGTGGTTGAGGGGCTGTGTCCTCTGCCTCCGAGCTGTAAAGATTGAGGGGGGGGGGAACCTACAAAAAAACCCCAAACCAAACCCCAAACAAAAGGCCTGGAAAGGTGAATTCTAAATGAAAGTCATTCGTCTTATATGTGAGCCGTGATTCACGATGACTGGTTTTTTTTGGGTTTTTTTTGCTGGAGGGAGCTAGGATGATTTTAGCTTCCCCTTCCTTACGTTGTTCTGCTTAATTTAAAAAAAAAAAAAAAAAGAAAAGATGTTTTGTAACTGCTCGGATTCTGATGTGCTTAATGAATGACGTATTAGCAACGGGAAGTAAATCCAGCCTTTATGATGAGAAACTTGCAAAGGCAGCATAATTCTATTTATTTGTGCAGTGTCTTCTGGTTCTCAAATTAAGAATTCCGGTCAGGTAATTCTGGTGATATGGAATGCAACTGGACGAAACGGAGACAGCAAATTCACAGATAATGCCTCACTCTTGCTTTTATGCTTTATCAATATCTTGCTGTTATACACATAGTGACACAAAGCCGTTGACTTTATTACTGGAGTATATTACACTGATGGAGCCGTTTCTCCCTTGGAGAGCAAGGTGAAAGCCATCTGTGTGACATAGAGAGGAAAGCTAAACGTTTTTATCTTTTTTAGGTTTGTTTTTATTGGGGTGTTAATTTTCCTGTGCTGTGAGATGTTGCTGTAGAGCTATCTACGCTTAATATTCTCTCCTGCGGTAAAGCTTAAAAAAAGGCATAGATTTGGTACATCATCTTACACCGGTATGAAATAATATAATTCTCCTAGCCGATGTCTGACTAATGTCCTCATGCTAGCATATCTTAAGGACACGGAAATGTTATATGTGTGTTTAAATACTGTATTAGTTTGCTGCTATTGAAGCAAAAACTTGTAGGCCGCATTCACCCAGTGGCTGACCGGTGGTGTTTCACCCATTTCATTGGGTAAATCAAGCTATCAAAAGTATGCAAATCTGAAAGGATTTCCTTTTGAAATGCGTCAGGATTGTACCTATTTAAATTCTTGAATAGTAGCATCCACTTTTAAGTGGAATTTATTCTTTTGACCACAATTTCAGTAGAGGCGTTTTCAAGTTCTAAGGCATCTGTTGGTTTCAGGCTGCTTAGGATCAGTGTTTGCATTTTTGTTTGCTTTTGATAGAAAATGAGAGAGTCCTAATCTGACTAAGAGATCCCAAGAAATAGATGCCAAATTAATTTGCATTAATGAACTAGGTCTAATAATTCAAGTACGCTCTGCGCTGGGAGGGCGGAAAGAGGGGAAGCAAAGGCTGGAGTTGAAGAGAAATTCACTTTAATATATAGACTGTAGGATGAGAAGAAGTTTATTTTTATTGAGCAGCTTCCTGTGGTTTTCTTGTGGTGCTCTAAGGACTTTGAAGAAACTTGTCATGATGCTGGCCATGCAGAATCTGCTTTGCAGATAACCCTGCATTTGGAGATGAGATTTTTCAGTCAAACAGCTTTTTATAAGCATAAATAAATGCTTCTTTCCCTCCCTCCTTTATTTCATCTTAGTGATTGTTCATGGCATTTAAATGAAAGGGGAGATGCTGCAATGTGTGATTTTCCTCCTAAATTTTTGATGTATTGTATTGATAAGGCTGTAGGTTTAAAGTGTTGGTGAAGCCAAAGTAGAGATTTCCCAACTTCGCCGTGTGCTATATTTAACTGTCTTTTATCAGTGAGTGTCTGCAGAAAGTAATGTCTTGGTAGTATGTTTTGTCTCGTAGCGTAGACCTTATATCCTTGTTGCTTATTCCCGAGAAGTATAAATACTCTTTCAGTCTTTCCTAAATGCCAAGCAACCCGCCTCCTGGTCAGTTGGTGGTGTGCCTTGTTTTACAGCTGGGTTGCAGTAAGTTGATGTGGTTTGTGGCTGAGGTGGCACAGGCACCGACCTGACCAGTTATGAAGTTATCCAAGACGGTTGGAGCTGGCCAGAGACTTGTTTTGCAGCGGATGATCAGAGCAGGGGTCAAAATACAGCTGTGATACAGACAAGCTTTTCCTACTGTGTCATATGAAGGCATCTGTCAAGTCAGCAGTGGTGTTTGGATCTTCATACTTTGGAAAAAATTGAGCAGTACCAGCATATAACTTAGGAACCTAATGGTAGGAACATTGATTTTGAGACTTTTGGCCTGATTTGCAGGTTATGCTGTTAGGGAGGTGGTAGATGTCAGCAATGATGCTGTTAATCATCCTATTTCTTCTCTTTGTGAGCTTCAAGAAGAATTTTGTCTCTGGTTAAGCATTTTGATAGTGAATGCTAATGGAAGCCTAACTGGATTACTTAAGAAGTCATGTTTTAGGTTAAATGTAAAAGTTGCCGATATGACTTTTTTTTTTCCCTTTTTTTTTGAATTCATGAATTCAGTTGCCAGAATATCCTCTCTGGGAAAGTGGGCACGATTCAAGACTGGGAGGTGGTTCTGCAAATCCTGTCTGTCCATTGAATGACTTGACTTGTAATAACAATGCTGTAACTGGCCTATGATAATTGCCGTATTTCCCTCTTTTGATTGGTTTGCCAGTGTTTTCTCCTTTTTAAGTACCATTAATGTTAATAACCAGGTCAAAAATATTTTTTTGGTGTGTTTGGGAAGGGAAGGGGTTAGCAGAACTTTTTCTGCAAAGCTTATACGTAGGACTGAGTGCTCCAGTATCCTCCCCAGAGCGTGCAAAATGGCATCTGCCAGCATTTTCACTGCTTTCCCATCAAACACACAAGCATGGGGATTAATTTAAGGTAATTTTAATACCCTAACTGATTTCCTTCACAGTTTGACCTCGAGCTGTGCAATTCCTCTTTGTTTGGCTTTGCTGCTTGCAGTTCTAGCTCAGGGCTCTGCCACAGCTCCGCTCATGGCCTCTCTTCTTCTCCAGGTTTACCTGCCTGGGTAGAAAACGAAGCAGCGCTAGAGAGGGATTGCCTCTGCCTGGGAAGACGTGGCTCTTCGGTCGCTCTCCACTAGTCTGAGGAAAAGATGTTTTCAAGGAGCGGGTGTGTGCAGTTTGGCGAGTTGCTTGGTTTCTGTGAGGTGACCCCCAACTTGTAAGCAGATGGCACAGAGGGCTGCAGTGGGCCAGTCCGCGGTCTCAGGAAATAGTTGTGTGGCCACCTGTGCTGTCAGACAGATGGGTCATGGCAAAATGCAGAGGGATGAGGAACATGGGTAATGCTGAGGATCAAAGTGAAGTGTAGCACTTTTTTTTTTTTTTTTTTTAACATGAAAAATCCTTGTGCTTCAGTAATGGAAGTAATTTGAATTAAGCAATATTGGTTTAGAAGTGTCCATGTAATATTTTTTGCATATTTAACTCTCTAGCTACCTGTCCTGGCCATCAAAGTTCTTCCACACATTCAGGATGTTTTGGTGACTGACTGGACATTTGCAAAAGGAAAGAACTGCATGATAAAAAGGAAGTTGAGGAGTGATCTTGGTGCACCGGGTCAGTGTATGCTGTCAGCGGGTTGCCAACACTTATAATCTCTCCAGCCCTTTGTGAATTCTCAGCATTATTTTAATGTATTTTTTATTCTTATAGTTTTGTTACTATGTCAGCTACTATGTGTTGATGCTGGTTGATTACCCAGTGACTGCTTTTAATCTTGAAAGACAGGAGTTTGAATGGTGCTATATCTTAAGATTTACTTAGAAGTTCAGTTAAAGTATTTTCTTAATCAATAAAAACGTACAAAGCACAATTGTTAGAAAGTACGTGTTTTAGCTTTGGAGGCACTTTGTTTTCTATTTCAGGCAGTGTAAACTGATACAAAAGAACTGCATTCCAGAGCAAACATTCCTTGAAACATTGTTTAAGTATTTTTAATGAAGTGATAATAGCTACCAAAAAAGTAACAATTTTTTGTGTGTGCATAGAATAGCTAGAAAATAGTAATGGTTGGTGTTAAATTGTGGTTTTTTTAGGGTATTGTTGATGTGTAGGTTTTTCTTGGGAAAACGTGAATAAGATTGCTTTAGCATATGTTGAAATTTCTTATGTCCTGGCAACTTCTCCTAATTGCACTTACCTTGTATCTGCATTGCACTAAAATGTGCCTTTTTAAAGTCCTTTTCTGCCTTCTTCAGTAATGCTGAAACGCTTTCAGTGCCAGCACATTGTAGGGCCAACTGTAAAATTTCAGTACGTTTTTCTTCCGGGTACAAGTTTTTCATCCTCTCGTGCACACATTGATAGAAAACTGCAGGCATGTGGTGCGCAGTGGTATGGTAGCTCCCACGCAAACAGAACGATTCTTCTAGGCCCAAGTTAACTTAAATTAGCAGCTGCTATCTCCTCTTTCATAATCTGCTCAAGGATTTTGTAACGAGAATACAGTTTTTCGATGAAAGATTGTTGTGTTGGGGTTGGTTGGTTTTTTTTTCAATATACTTAAGTACTGTGATCTAAACTTTGGGTGAATGGTTGAGCAAACAAAAACCTAGGGGCATTTAGTTACCTCTTATCAAAGCACTGCTACTGAACTTTTTTTTTTTTTTGTGACATGAGATAAGTGTACTTTCATTAACTGGTATTTTTGCGATGGTCTGATGGCTTCTGACAGATGAATGATACAAGTAAATAGTTCTGTAGATTTGATTGCAATGATGGGCAGTATCTAATACCAGCAGGGAGAAGTTGATAGAAGAGCACAAACCAGAGATCGAGCCAGCACCTCCAGCTTCTCCCTGCCTGCCTTCTGAGTTTTCTCTTCCCTCCAAGAATATATATTTATCTATCTGTCAAGAATCGTATTTTAACTGCTTGCTCTAGGAACACTGGCGTACACCATCCTGCTTTTGCTTTTGTCACGTGGGACTTCACAATCCTTACGCGGTTTCATCTGTGTCTTACTAAAGTTGTGTTAGGTGGCAGCAGTAGGGATTCTGGAATGTTTGTGGCTTTTACAGGACAATCTGTAGATAAAGTGACTGTATAGGACCTATACGTTGATAGTATTTTGCAGTGCAGACAGGAAGAGTCCAAAGTTTACTGATGTCATTACAATAGCCAAATATGCAGTTACATAAAGCAGAAGCTTGCACAAGTTTTCCGTTTGCTTCTCCCCTTTTGTGTCTCTAAATTTTTGGCTGTATTTCAAATGAAAATGTTCTTTTCCCTTCCATCTGTCACTACGTATTTTATGTCTTAACAGGATTTTCTGTTACTGTGATGGTAATATCTTAGCAATTTTATTTGTGCTCAGAAATAGTTTGTAATTTTGTCACAGTTCCAGTGCATGGTGTGTAATGCAGGCCTTTGCCTAGCCTGGGTCAGTCATTGAAGAATTTTCCTTATGAATCTGCTTCTCATGGCAGGAGGATTTAGGGACGCTCACTGTAAAAACATAATTAGGTTTAAAGCTGTTTGTAGAGAGGAGGGGGACTTGGGAGCCTAACTCCAAACGTTTTCATGGGCAGTTACTAGTGACAATGTCTGCAGTAATCTAGAACATGCCAGGTACAGGAAATTTATTCTACCAAGACTAGATTGCACTAAGTGAGAGATTTATAATTTCAGGTTGCATCTAGTGTTACTTGATGGTAAGCAATTAAGGGATTTTTTTTTTTTAATTAAAAATATGTTAAGAAAGTCTTAATATTTCTTTACATCTCTGTATTTACAAGGTCAGTATGAAAGTTGGCGGTCCTGCTTCTGATATTTGGAAGTACGAGAAGGGGGATCAGCGGACAAAATGGGACGTGTTAAGATCCTTGTTTGGATACTGGAGCATGGCAGTGTGTCTTTGGGAGACACGTGACGTTGTGATAACAGCAGGTAGAAGGGGAATAAAATTAATGAGTGTTCATGTGCTTTTACAAAGGGCATACGGGATCCCTGTGAAACCACCTAGTATCTGCACAGGGAATTGAAGCAGTGCTTTCTTTTTTAAGTTCTGCTCTAATTCAGGTCCATCAGGGAGTGGCGTTATTCTGATACAGTTCCAGGTCAGACTGATAACTGCTTTGATCTGAAACAGTTGGACTGATCTGATAACGCCTCAACTGACTTGATCTACGTTACGTTTCGGGCAGGGGACCTTGCCACATAGTGCGAGCTCTGGAAGAGGGTGAGGTGGTTCAGCGTGCTTGGTGGGACCTCGGTGGGAGCAGGTGCCTGTTTCTTTTCTTCTTGCCTGCGTGGTTTAGCTTTTGCCGCTCCTAGATCCTCTGCTCTTCCCAGCACTCTGCTGGCATCTCCTCGCCTGCTGCTTCTTGAGGAGGAGGGAAGGGAACACAAAATTGTTCGGTGCCTCCATTGAAATCTGAGGTGAGCTGTTTCTCAGAAGCTATAACCAGACATATTTCCTGTTCTAAATTGAGTTAAAAAAATGGATTCAGTTACTGTTCAGAGCGGCAAATTGATTTAAGTTCCAGGTTAGGAATATTTTCCATCTGCTAACTAACAAGCTCTGTTGCACAGGGATGCTGCTTCTCTGCATGTGTACGATTCTGATGTGTGTCTCGAGGAGTTATTCTGGTCTGAGTGGTGAAAGAAAAATAGGATATGAACCATGTCTTTTCCTTAGAAAATTTATTTTATCATCGTTGTGGTTTGGTTTGACAAAACACTAGTAAGTCTGACATTCTTTTGAAGGCTCTAACATTAATGTTGGGAACTAACGTTCTTGCTTTGAGTAGACTGTTTTTATCACAGAGTGAAGTAAGTGCATATTGAACAGAAACATTTTGCCTGTGTGGTAATTAGTGAAAATATTTATCTTCCTTAATAACTGTCTCTTTCTTTCTTTTCCTACAAAGTTCCCGATTTCCACACTTGCTTACTTCATTCTTGTTGCACTTTTAAGAATTGCTTTGGCACACCATTTGCTATTCACAATTAACTTAGGAAAACAGGGAAACAGAGTTAATCAAAAGGTGTTTGGAAGGTGCATAGTTATAATTTCCCAAGCGTACCTCACTATTTCACTAAGTGGTTTGGATAACAGGGCCAACAATCAACATGACTTTATTTTTCATTACTGGTCCTGAAAAGAAATATATATTGGGTAATGAAAACCCAGCATCTTCTGTAGTTGTCCTATAATGTGTGACCCCTTGCCCCGGTTTCCTGCATCTTATCTTAAAACCACGTTTCTTCCTGTGACTCATTCTCTTGACATCTTCTATATAAAGCCCAGTTAGTCCCTCTTGCATGTTAAAAGTTATCTTTCTATGATGACTTTTAATTTGTCTTTCCTTGCTGTTTTGAGGCTGTTTAAATATGTAGATGTATAAATATTGTTTAAAAATAACCCTAAATGAGGAAAGGTGCTGTTTTGCAACTAATTCTGTTCCTCTTAAGGATCTTCAGGAAGGCATACTCTTGGTTGGGGAGTATGTGTAAGAGTAACACTGGCTTAACACTGCATTGACGGCATCATGTCATGTACACAGGCCATGTATACAGGCAGACTGAAGAGATGTGTGTCATGCTCTGGTGTTAATTAAGATCAGAGGGAGGAATAAAAGCATCACGGTCACAAAAACTATACGGTTTTCTGGCTTTGTTCTCAGTTAGTACTTTAGGTGGAAAAAAGACCAAATGTGGTAATTCTATACTTTACACTGAAACTAAACGGCATGTATGTTGGGAATGGCAGTGATTAACTTATGCATCAGTATAATAGTGGCCTTTTTGTTGTAAGTCCTCTGAAGTGTAATTCCAGTCTGAAAACTTAGTTTTTAAAATCTATATGCATTTGATGTTCTATTTCTTATCCCAATTATAATGTTAGAAAACTCAGTTACAATTAAAGTCTAGAACATATTTTTTCCTTAAGTGCCAGGTTTGCAAACTAAGTCTACCGTCTGAAATTCAAGCTGTGTCTTTTCTTGTTAATCATTGGTGAGTTAGTGGGAAAATCAGTAGGACAAATACCATTCTCAGTTGCCTTATTATTTCTAAATTATGGGCTGGCTTTTTTTTTTTTTTTTTTAAGCAGCCACAAAATACTGTTGCCAGACTGAATGGCAGAACTGAGGACATACTTCATCACACAGATTGCAGAAAGTATGCAAAGTGAGAGAACACTGGAAATAAACATCAGTATGGTTTCTGTAGGAGTAGTATAAAATAAATCTTTTTGTTGGTGAAACCACAGTGTATAGTTAGAAAATACCAAAGAGTTTATCTCCTGTAAGAAAATGTCGGTTTAAATTAAAACCACTTTTAATCCAACCCTGTGATTTGTTTGGATATTTCTAGCCAAATGAGCTGGGTGGAGACAATGTACAAAGTCTTAGTCCTGAGCACCTCACAAACCAGACTGACTTACATATATGGGTTGTACACTGGTTAGTATATTCTGGGCGTATTATAAGAATGTAGTTAAATTAGTGGTGCGTTCATAGTGACTTTCTTCAGTGCTGTGAAAACTTTTGGATCGCTAGGGAATAAATGGTGCCTTCTGCTGTGTTTTACTCTGTGTTTACCTCTGGACCTGGGCTCTCTTTTAATTGACCTAAGAATAAAACAAAAATACTTGCATTGAAGGCATGCCCCTCCAGCATTTGCCCAGCCTTCAAAAGAAAAGGCATTTTATTGCATTTTCCTGTCAAAACGATAAGTTAAAGTTTGAGTGATACAAGCTGTGCTGGTCAGTTCAGATTTTATTGTGAAAATCCTAAGTCTTAACTGCTCTTCCGCTTCTAAATGTCCATGTGCTGGGGATCTGAATGGGGCGGATATGGAACTCATCTCTTCATGCCTTTTAAACTGTTTTCTGTAACGTCTGACACTATCCAGTGAGGAGGAAAGTGTTGTATGAAGATGACTGAAGTGTCTTGCATGTCCAAAACACATATACATTTTTTTTGTTGTTTGTATCAATTAGTTCAGCAAATCTGTATTTAGGACTTGCCATTTCACCTGCAGTTTTGTCGTGTCTATTCTACTGCTCTGTGTTTGTGCAAGGATAGTTCTGACTTGCAGAATGGTAGGGTACGCCGTCAGGTCTTGCAATTGCTGTGGGAGTGTCATCCTTACCTCAGATGAGGCTGGCTGTCGAAAAAGCAATTTGTGGTTTCTCTGGCAGTTGACAAGTTTTGTTTGGGGCAGAGGTTTACTTGGGGGCCTGGAGATGGTCTGCCTGGGGGGCTTGGTCTGCTTGGGTTTGTGCTCACTCCCTCACAGTGATCAGAGGGTTTTTATCCTACAGCCTGTGCCCTGTTTGTCATCAGGGGACTGTTATTCCTGGTGACGTCTTGGTTTGGTTTTTTTCAAAGCTTAACTGGATGGTGCAGTTTGGTGGCAGGTAGTACTCATGTCAGTATTGCAGCTTGTTCCCAGCACTTCGGTTCATGCAAAGAGTCTGGTGATCCTAGGGTGGAAAAGAGCATGCAATTTAAAAAATGTTATTGGTGTGATTCTAATTTTAATCTGTAGTTTCTTGAAAGCAGTGGTTTTGGGGGTGGTTTTGAAAGTTGTCAAAAATGTTATTTTCAACCTTAAAACATCTTTTACAACACCGATTGCTCTGTCCTGGCATATTTTTCTCAGCTGCAGGAGCGACTTCCTATTGTGTTTGTGATGTTTGACTAACAGGGAATGGTGACAATCGGTGTGTTTACACCAAGGACCTGTCACTGGAAGTTGCTGTAGCTCTGCTGACTTGGATTCCTGAGCTGTTGTCATGGCTTGGAGCGCCTTAACGTGAAGCTGTACCAGCAAATTGCTCGATTGCCAGATCTGCATCAGAAGGTTATGTCAGCCAGTACCTCTTCAGTAGAACAGGATGTTATTAAAACTCATATTTATTGGCGTATGGATGTCCTTACTAGGCATGACTACTTAGCACAGTGGTTGATCACCAATACAGCTCTTCTTAACTTTGACTGCTGTGGTGGCTTTTCCGGCTGAAGCTTGTGGTGTTGGATGCAGCCTTGTGATTAGGAAAGGAAAATGAGTGGTGGTTTGGTTTTGTTTTTGTTTTGGGGGTTTTTGTTTTGTTTTGTTTTTAACATTTCTTATTAGTATTCAATCTCATCTGAAAAGAGACGGATCTGTTGTGCTGGTTTTGCCTTTTTTTCTTTATGATCTAATAAAGAAGTCTTTGAATGTATGTTAGAAGCCCATGTTCTCTGTTTTTTTTATGGGAGGAAATTAAAATGTTCTTTTCTTTGTCAGTTTCTGTGAGGAAGTGAAATAGTGAAGTCTCCTCCCCATGCCCCACAAAACCTGGGGAAATACAGTTAAGCAATTAAGAGAAGAAAGGATTTTTAGATATGCTTAATTTTTAAACTTTGCAAAAGACAAAAGTCTTTGGAACTAAAGCCTTCACAGCTTAACTGAGTGGATGCAAGTGTTGCTTGAATAATTATGCATCTTTTTCGGCTGGGAAGACCTGATCAGATACATGAGGTAAAAGTAAATTGGGGAAAAAAGTTTCTTTTCTGCCTGTATTATTAAATAAATAAGATTAATTTTTAGATTGTAGATTACTAAAATAATAATCTTGTAATTTGGTAGATTACTAAAAACTAATTACGCTGTCAAGTAGAAAGAAAGGCTCTGATGTTACAGAGACAATTACGTTGGATTCCCAGTGGTTGTATAAAGGCATTTTAGCTTTTCTTTTCCTGAGCTAGGTGGCTTGGTGGGTGGTTGTTTCTGGAAACTTGGCTTTATAAATTCTGCTGTTCAGTTCTGCTTATTTTGCTTCTTTATTCATAACTTTTTAAAAGAAAGATTTGTGTTCTTGGTGGGGGAAGAGATAACTATTAAAGAAACGAATGGCAGAGATCAATAACCTGAAAACAGGTAAAGTTTCTCAAAGGGAAACACCAGACCTGATCATTTTAGATCAGGTTGAAGATATGTGAATTACCTTCTGCTGTTGGTACAGCCTGGTCTTAATTTTTGCTTTTTTACCCATTAAAATAAACTATTGATCTAAAAATCATTAGTAAAAACTGTTCATGATTGAAACTGCCAAGAGTGTTTATTTGACAACAAAGCAATTCCAATAATAAATTAGTTGCAAAATGTAGACCAAAATTATTTCACAGTTTGTAAAACCATACTTTTACATTATTTAAATGTTGAGGAAGGGGAAGATCCTTATTTACCTTTTCATCTGCCTCCACAATTGATAGCAAAAGAAGATAGGAACTTTTTTCCCTCCATCTCCTGCTATTGCAGATGAGTGCAGAGGGTAATCTTCCCCTGCCCTGCCCTTCCAGATTAATTTCTGATAAATCTCTTTTTCTTTCCCTTTGCCGACCAATTTGTAATTTGAAAGATGTGTTCATGTCTGGGAAGGTCATTGCATCATTTCTTTTGCCTCTTGGACTGCTTATATGGCTTTTCTAGATGTACTCTGTAACCTCATTTTGCCTGGTCAAAAAGGGGGAACAAAAACTGCCTGTGCTGTAAAAAGCTACTGCTTAGACCAGCATTGTCTCCTTAACCTGTTGCTAAAGTTGTTTTGCTTTCCTGTATGTTTATTGTACAGTTACTGCTTCATGCAACAGAAGACGCATCCTAACCTACCGAAAGTGGCGAAGCCTTTGGAGCAGGCTGTTGAGAGGTTGGTGATCACATTTTGACAATTGATCTAGTTTGCTGAACCTTTGTCACATGAGACAATAGGCATTTTTTCTTTTATTCCTGTTTAAAAGCCTTTAGTTGTCTTACCTACAAGTGTGACATAATAGTATAAATCCCATTTTTATGTGAATAAACCCATTTGTTTGTTCCAAGACTTTTTCTATATTTTTAAAGGTTTAATGCTTTGACTATATTGGTGTCCTGGTTTTGGCTGGGATAGAGTTAATTTTCTTTCTAGTAGCTGGTACAGTGTTATGTTTTGGGTTCAGTATGAGAATAAAGTTGGTAACACATTTTCAGTTGTTGCTAAGTAGTGTTTAGTCTAAAGTCAAAGATTTTGCAGCTTCTTGTGCCCAGCCAGCAAGAAGGCTGGAGGGGCACAAGAAGTTGGGAGGGGACACAGCCAGGACAGCTGTCCCAAAGTGGCCAACGGGTATTCCATACCATGTGATGTCATGCCCAGTATATAAACTGGGGGGAGTGGTGGCTGGAAGGAGCAGGGGAACTAACTGGGCATTGGTTGGCAAGTGGTGAGCAATTGCATTCTGCATCACTTGCTTTGTATATTCCAATCCTTTTATTATTATTGTTGTTGTTGTTGTTGTTTTTTTCTTCTTCCTTTCTGTCCTAATAAATTGTCTTTATCTCAACCCACGAGTTTTACTTTTTTCCTAGTTTTCTCCCCCATCCCACTGGGTTGGGGGGGAGTGAGCAAGCGGCTGCATGGTGCTTAGTTGCTGACTGGGGTTAAACCATGACAATTGGCAAATCATTAGCAATATGATTTTATTTGTATTGATACAGTTTATCAAGTATAGCCCACCCGTTTGGGCTCCCATCCAAATAGAGCTGTACCTCTGCATTGATGCTTTACAAGAAGTTTAAAATATTTCTTCCCTAGAAGAAAGGAGTGACATCAGTATCACAGTAGTGAATGTTGTGGGTTTTCTGATTTGTTCTAGTGAGTTTGCATGCTATGAGTAGTTACAGTGATTCAAACACCACATAGATTTATGTAGAGAAAAAATTAAGAGTAATAATGAGGCAAGCAAACAGAACTACTGTTTTTTCATAAATTTTTAAATAGCTGAGTAAGCAGATGTAGGGTTTTTTTTATAGCCATATGCAGTTTGTAACACATGCACTCTGCCATACGAACTACTGTAATGCCATAAACAATAATTTAATTTTGCTGAAGAATTAAATAGGAGCAATGAAATCCTAAGTAGAGAATCCACTAAAACCCCCAGGGTTTTAGAGAGTAGTTCTTCTAGTTGAGGAGAGAGGATAGAAAATGTGACTCTAATACTTTACATTTCTCCCCCCCTGTGCCCCCAATATGGAAAACCTTTGCTAGGTTTGAATCTTACTCTTGTATAGGGTACAAGGTCACAAGTCTTTATAACAGGTTGGTGAATCAGACTTAAATGGCTAAATTTTAATCTGCTAAGCTTATTAGAGAAACAACACTTGTACCACTGTAGTTAAGTTTGTCACAAGTTTCAGTGTAACCTCTGTTTCAGTCTTAATGATGCATGTTAGATCAATTTAGACTTGAATTTAGCAGAGGAGTTGTGTGGTCCCAGATTTCATTTATGTAAAAGCTCTGTGTTTCTGCTTTTTTAAAAAACTCAAGAGAATTTAATGAAGACTTCAGCAGTCTTCCACTGTTAGAGACCTGTCTTCTGTTCCCAAGGCAAATGAATTTGGCCGTAGTAAGGTTCTTTTTTTCTGGGAGAAAGATGTATACAGTCGAATTAATTCCCTGGATACTAGGTTACCTTTCCATCAGGGTTTATATGTTAAAACAGAATGGTTTTATGGATATGAAATTTCTCATGTGACCTTTATCAAAAAGCTAGAAACCAAATAGCAAAACTTAGCTAAAAGGCTTTTGTGCTATGATAGAAAAAAATATAAGCAACACCAAAACATTCACTCTTGGATGCTTTAATGAAATAGTAAATGTTAGTGCTTCAATTAATAGGTTAAAAATTAGTATTTCAAGACAGCTAGGGGAATGTTGATGAAGAGTACTTTAAAATAGTAATAGTCTTCTGAGTGCACTTATTAGCCAGTTTCCTTTACCTTCAGCCTTTTCACATGATTTTTCCAATACTGATTCATTTTGCAAGTGGTGTGAGCAAGTAAGGCTGTGAAAATAAGACTTTGGAGTTTCTGGTTTGTCTATTGATTTTTTTTTTTTTTTTTAAATTTTTATTTTATACACCTTAATTGCAGCATTATTTCTTTAAATACTTTGCAACTATGATATAGTTCATGTACATGATGGGGATGGATTATGAAGCAAGGTATCCTAAAGATACTTATCTCTTTTTGTTAGCAGCATACGGAGCAGGATGATGACAATTCTGTTAGTAGAACTGTTAAATAAAAATGGTTCTCCTGCACCTGTCAGAAGACGTTAGGGTAGACAGAAGAAACGATGCGCTTTTTATCAAAAAGAATAGATCTGAGAACATGTCTGATTTCTGTAAGGAAAAGGTAGTATATATCTCTTGGTTAGAGGAAGAAAAGGTGCTGAGCACTATTTATGGTCACAGTATATGGGGAAAATACAATATTAGATAAAGTGGATCCAAATTTGCAGGACAACTGAGGCTAAAAGAGCTGGTTTTGGTATGCGCAAAATGGTTGGAAGAACAGGCAAACTTCCTAAGTGTATTTCTTCATTCGTGTTACAAAACTTATCACAATTTTAATGTGTTGCTGAATTTAGTTTGCATTCATGTAGCTTTGCTTGCTTTTGTTATCTTCATCATTCTTTAATCTTGTCTTCTGATTTTCATACTTACATATGGATTCTCTGCCTCTCAAACAATTGCTTATTCCCTTCCCCAGACTTTTTCTTTGAGTTTTTGTGGTTTTTGAAACCGGGTAACATCCATTAATCTTGATTTTTTTAAATGCTTCCGTTTGTTTTCCGGCATCTGTCCTTTCATTTTCTCTCCTTTTGTTTGTATTGTGAATATCATGTAATAAGGAGGGGAGATATTTACAAGTAATTACAAGCAGGGTATTATGTAGAGCTCTGGGTCAGTGGATCTGGCCTGTTGAATAATGAGATTGGATGGGTAGATCAAAACATTCCTGAGTCACTAAATTAGAATTGCCAGTTGCAACAGAAACCAAGCAAGCAAAACCCCAGAAAGGCGTGCTGCGGATGGCTACTGTGCTGGGAGGGAGCATGCACAGGAGAATGCTGTGAAGAAGGGGTGATGCGGAATAGCTGCCGCGAGTTTCTCATGTACTTAGATTTTTATAAGTAGTAGTTTTCTTTGGAATTTATTTTGGTCTTGTTTGGTTATTTCCAGCTGTAAATCAGGCTTTCTGCTGTTAATGAAACTTTGTAGTGGCATAGCTGAGAGTAACTAAAGAAAATATTGCTGCTTGCATCCATATTAAGATAAAAATACTTTTCTATATATTCTGAGTTCTATACATGGCTGGGTATTATATATGTATGGTGTAAAAAATAAAGGCTTTTCTTCTGATGGAATTTTGACAAGGTCTGGGCTGGAATCTTGTATTTTAACTATTTGAAGCTTCTGTCTGCACATCCTTGTATTTTCATTTACTTCATTATATGCCAAATGCTGACTTTAGCAGGATAGCCCTTTTTGTCAAAGGCAAGCAAGTATAATCAAATCTCCAAAGTACATTTGGACTTGCTTTCTTCTCCTGTTTCACTCTCAAATTTCCAGCTGTGTACATCCATAAATTGAGCATACCGTGGCTGTTTTTCAGTTTGACTGTCAACATTTCTGAAGCTTAGGTTGCTGTCTGAAACAGAATTAGTGGTAAATTTAAAGATGGTCTTCATTTAGGTATGAAGGGAGAGCTGATTTAGGAAAAAAAAATTACTGTGCATCTGAGATTGAAAGAGAAGATTTACAGTGACCACAGGCAAAACTGGTGGACTTGTCCATCTGAATATGTCTGTTCTAGTCCCCGATATCCTAAGAGCCTGGGCCATAATTCTGGTTGCTAACCCCGTTAACTATCCGCAGCTTTCTAAAGATTGCTTTAAAAATGTTCTGTTGTTGATTACTTTGTAATGAAGGAAGTGGTGGGCAGGGAACCTGGAAGGTTTTATAGCTTCACGAAATAGGACATTTTGCATCCGAGAGGTAGCCTAGCCTTTAATATTGCACACGCTCTGTCTGAGTGGGAAAGTTTAAATTCTGGCTGTAGCTTGTGCACTCCCTGCCTTTCATTTTTCAGGAAAAGTCTTTTGGTGGTATCTATTGAATGAACTAAATAGATCCATCAACAGTAGGCTGATTATTTTCTTGGTGGTTGATTCATTCTTACTTATTTATGGATATGCTGCTAAGATCAAGCAGCTTCTTACAGATTGCATAAAACAAATTCTGTGGTCAGTAATGCCAACAGCTTACGGGGTGTATTCCCAACATCTCTCTTTGCCACACCAAAACCTTCCAAGTTTGTGAAAGGCATACTTTTTAATTGAATGGGGAGTTTATTTCTCAAGTGCATTCAGAGCTTGTTCTTTGGAAACTGTTGAAAGGGTTTGGATGATGATTAAGCGATGACTTGCCGGGTAAAAGTTGCTCCAAAGTTCCACTCATTAAGTTTATTGCTTGGTAATCTAACACATAAGTTACTTTGTGATTAAGGACATGGATTTCATGTATCCTATACCTGCTTAATTGGAAAAGATATTTTAATCTGTTGCAGTGATTTTTCCCTAAATTTTTCGATAGCATCATCTAGCATTTCCTAGGCTCCTCTTGCCCATTCATTCTCCTATTTTCATGTGATCGGTGATCCACAGCAATCTGTCTAACTTTGCCTTGACCACTGAAAGAAGGGATTTGTGTTGCTGCGTCATCTCAGGTTCTCTTCCTCCTTGTACACTGAAGGGAGACTTGTTTCTTCTTTGGGTAATCTGCTTCAGGATGAGGGAATGTGCATAGGATAAAACAGTGGGTTTCTTGATGGAAATTTGTCCTGGCAAAATGAGCTGGTATTGCTCTATAGCTTAAGCACAGGAACCAATGTTGATGCCAGGTAGAGTGGCATTCGAAATGGCATAGACATCAGCTTCTCCATGTGGTTGCATGTCTTCATCTTATTGGCAGTGCTGTTAACTTGTGAAGAAAAGTGCTGTACAGACAATACTGTTTTTCTATTGACATTTTTAATAAATGTACATTTATTTGTCACGAAGGCGTCTGGCATCTGAATGCCACTAAACATCTCTGGGCTGTTGTGAAGTCTTGCTCTGCTGTGGTTCACCTTGCCCCATGCCTGTGCTCGGCTGCAGCCTTGCAGGGTGGTAGAACAGGCTGCGCGCCTGCTGCTCGTGTGCCGGAGCTTGTGGTCCGCTGAATTAGCTAAGCTTCTTTAGCAGTTTCTCTCTAACAACATTACAGATTATCAAGATATGAAAAACACACTTCTCTTGTTTTAAGTACAGATATTTCACAAATGCCTAAGCTGAAAAAGTCCGAAGTCTTAAATAGGTAATGGTTATTAGAGTTTCTGTACGACTGGTATCTTTATTTTAGGTAGGTGTGTGCCTTTCACATGGTAAAAGGTTTGGGAAAAGAGGCTGAAGCTACAGATAAAAGCACAGAGCCCTTGAATCTATACTTTAAAATATTTGCTAACTTACTTTGACAGCTAATCAATTCTAAAGATAAATATTTACATTGTGGCAACTTACTCTAGTATAAAATATTTTGGACAGTAGACCCACTTCTGTTTATTCTGGACTTTCACATCAAGGCAGTGTTTGAGTGAAAGCATAATGGAAATACTTAAATGCAGCCTTTAAAATGTATTCTCTGATGCCAGCTGACTGTGTTGTAGGAAAGTGTGTGCCTATTAAACACACCCAGACTGTAGCATGCCTCCCCATTCCTAGTGGCTTCAATACTTACCTGCTTTAAGTGAAAATTCTCTGTAAGTATAGAAGGTTATATTTCTGTTATTTCACTTCCATCTTGCCTTTAGCATATTATGAAGGATTGTCATAATAAAATAATGGGATGACAACTTTGCAATGAGCCATCAACGTATGAGTTAGTGAACAACTGATTTGCTTTTGTTTTGTCTTTAGGAGATTCAGTTTTAGAGGTGTGTGGAGGCTGTTACCACTTACCTTAGAATATTCAAACTAGATACCAGGTAAGTACTGTATTTTTTGATTTCTTGTGGTGAAAAAAAAAAAAATAATCCACTCATTTAAATGCAAAATAAAGCCGAGGAAACAAAGTTCAAAGTTTCTTATAGAAATCTCTAATACTTCATGAAGCCAAGCTTAAAACGCCTCATATTTTTCCTGATAATACATTCTTGTTGTCCTGGTTTCAGCTGGGATAGAGTTGATTGTCTTCCTCGTAGCTGGTACAGTGCTATGTTTTGAGTTCAGTATAAGAAGAATGTTGATAACACTGATGTTTTCAGTTGTTGCTAAGTAGTGTTTAGACTAAGTCAAGGATTTTGCAGCTTCTCCTGCCCAGCCAGCAAGAAGGCTGGAGGGACACAAGAAGTTGGCACAGGACACAGCCAGGGCAGCTGACCCGAAGTGGCCAACGGGGTATTCCATACCGTGGGACACCATGTCTAGTGTATAAACTGGGGGGAGTGGTGGTGGGGGGATCGCCGCTCAGGGACTAACTGGGTGTCGATCGGCAGGCGGTGAGCAATTGCACTGTGCATCGTTTGTACATTCCAATCCTTTTATTATTACTGTTATCATTTTACTAGTGTTATTAGTTTCTTCTTTCCTGTTCTATTAAACCGTTCTTATCTCAACCCATGAGTTTTACTTCTTTTCCTGATTTTCTCCCCCATCCTACTGGGGGTGGGGGTGGGGGGGCAGTGAGTGAGCAGCTGTGTGGTGCTTAGTTGCTGGCTGGGGTTAAACCACGACACTTGTATATATTTCACTCCTCTCCCCTTTAAAAATGATTTTTGTCACCCTAGAAAAATACCAGATTGTGAGAACAACTCTAAATGAATCTGGGACAGATGGACAGGATGCAGAGGCCAGTGGTGCTATTCTGTTTTTGTGATAAATCAATATTTACTAAGGCATTTTCTGGCTTGGTGTTTTTATTTAGACTTACTAGTAAACACTGGTTGAGATAGAATAATCTAGTTTAAGATTAACACCTGTAGTTAACCTTCTGCACTGGAAATCTTTGAAAGGCTAGTAGTCTTAAATTTAGCTGACATTATGTTTTACCATGTAGTCAGTAACCAGAAATGCTTTGTGGAATACAAATCTTTCCTAAAATACTCTAGTGCTTCCTAAAGTTGTACAATAAAGCATCAACTAGACGTAATTTTTGTAAGAGCTGGCAAAACATCGTTTCCAAGCTAGGCTCTTTAATCATCTGCTAATATGCTCTTTAAACTGTCATTGCAGAGGGCTTGACAATGTTACAGATAGTTTGTATTAAAGACACTTGCCGGGTTGGTACCTCAGGGGTGTTGGGCTGTGCTAGGAGAGCAGCCTACCTCTTTTCCTGTCCAGCACTTCCAGAACGGCTTTGAGCTTGTCTTTCTCATTCCTCCTCTTTCCTATTTGTCCCTTTTGGGGATTTCTCTATTCTGTGTTACTGGCAACATATGGAAAGACTGGGAAGCTGTTTTGTTCTTCTGGTTTCAACCAAACTTGTTGCAATTTGGATAGAGAGTATCAATTAAGGTTAATGACCTTCCATTATCCTTTGTCTAGTGGGTAAGTATCATTTACCATGTCAGGAGGTGGTGGATTTTGGCCGTTACAGTGGGATTTCACTTTTTGGAACAACTGTTGACAGCCAGATTCCCTACATTGAAGATAGACACTTCACTAAAGTTGTTGTGAACAGCATGTATTTAAAGGTCTGTGCACTGGCAGATGTGTTCAGGATGTGATTTTTTTATAACTTTTTTTCTTTTTTAGTAACTTAAACTTAGGACTATGCAGATATTAAGAAAATTAAAATTCTGGTGAAGATTGTACCCCAATGTCCTGCTGCAGTAGTGTTTTTAATGTTAACATTGTTTGGTTTCCTTTGCCCCTTCTGATTTTTATCAGTGGAGCTGAACAGCCACAACTCCTTTCAAAAGCAGTCTTTCCTACAGTGAGGAAATCCAAGTGAGCAGCTGTGCCTTTGTGACTTACATGGGAAAATGTACAGAATTAATTGGAAATGTGAAAAGTGATATTTTAGGCAACTTGGTACTTTACAGTTTCCAGAAGTTTGTTCATGAATAAATACTTAATGCTTCAGCCTTGAAGTGAAATGAAAAGTACTGCTGTTAGCCTGCTTCCAGATGCTAATGACACTGAAATATTGTTGATACTGGCCATCGAATTAGCTGTCCATCCCTTTACTGGTGCAAGGCGGTTCTTTCTAGCAGGGATCTGACTCCTGCGATCCCATGTTGTTACAAGCATCTGCTTCTTGTGCAAGCAGTGTCAGTAACCTCCACCCTCCATCCTGCCCCACAGCTAAGCATGTTTTCTTGGAAAAATTGATCCCCCCTCACTGCCCCTTTCCAGTTAAATTCTTTGCAGCATCTTGTGGTGGGGTCAGATGAAGTTTTAGTCCTCCCTCACTGCTTCTGGCCACCTGATCTGTTGTCGCCCTTTTTGGTGCTGGCATTCATTGGGATGTTCTGTGAGTATTTAATTCCCTAAACTGGCAGAGAACTATTAATTTTTCTTGGCTATAATAATAGTTTGCCATTTTAATGAGCTAAATACAACTTAGGAAAGGGTCAACAGACCTGGCAGAAACTTAAGGTCCCACCAGTTCCGTGAAACTTGATAGGATTCTTTTGGGAAGCTAAAAAGAAAATCAGTCTTTCTAAGGTTCAGTTTACTGTTGGTATATTTAAAATGTTAAGGCTGGCTTCCATATAACCTTTCAGATTTAATCTAAGCCTTTTGAGCAAGGTGGTACCAATTATACTTACCTGGTCATGCTGAAAACAGTTGCGTTTTCTGGTAAAGCTGACTAATGCAGGATGTTCTGGTACACAGATGGTTAAAAACTGTGCTGTTTAATCCAGGGGATTACCTTTCTTCAGAGCCTTCTGACAGAAACCTCTTCAGGGCATCCTGCTTGGTTAGAATATGTAGCAGATGGCTTGTTGCTGCTGAATACAACACTTTTTAAAAATACAGAGCAGCTTTCACTATGGCGAATTAGAGCCACTTGTAAAAACAGTAGGATAGATAATATCCTGGTTTATGAAGTACTCTGAACTTAAATAACTTGCACCTTTATTGTCTGTTTCATATTTGAAAAGCCAAAGGTTGCGTTCCTAGTAATAATACTCTTCTGTTCCCTTAAATAACAAGCTTCCCAGATGAATTCCCATTACCACATTGTCCTCCACTCTTCTGCCAAGGCCAGCGTGTCCATTTCATACCAGTTTTGAAAAACAGACACCCCATCACACCAAACTCCAGATACCCTGAACTGTTCAGATTGAAGCGATTGAAGATTGTAGCAGTGTGGAATTTTATTCCTATGCCTGTCTTTATTCTTGACAGGCAGCCTGCAGACTGATAGACCTCGCCTGGATCAAATTAAATTCATTTTTATTAAACAAATTGGCCCTAATTTAACAGTGGAGATTTTATTAAGCAGAACATAGCGTATACCTGTGATCTGCAGCATCTGTGCACCAAGGACATGTTGGATTGATATTAAAGGAAGCTTGTTACGCCTAAATAGAGCTACAGACTTTAAACAACACAAATGTTCATAATGTCCTCGAAGCTCCAGTTTAAAGCAATGCCTTTGGAAGAGCTAAATTAACATGTACAATCTCAACCAGAATGTATTTTTTTTTTTTTCCCCGCCCCGACTTCAGATTAATCCCATAGGTCCCTGGCAAAGAGCAATAGTGATAGACACGCTCCCCTTAGCTGGATGCTGCTAATGAGTGACTGATGTGATAGAGCTGCAGGAGGGTATCCTGGGAGGGCTGCGGGGAAGCAGTGATGGTCGTGGTTGGAGAGCAGGAGAAGCTGCACGGGGGAGCCAGGGCAGCGGTTGGAGCAGGCCTGTACGATTAGCTAGATTACCAGATAGACGTCAGGATCATCAGTCTTTGACCTCAGCGCTGGGACCGCTTGGGTGGAGGGGGCTGGGAGGCTGCGGCCAGGTTGACCCATAGCTGCAGATGGGAAGAGGCTGTCCCAGAGGGTTGTGCCTGGTGTATTCCTGCATGTGGGATTTCTTGCCTGAAATGTTTTTTTTTTTATTCCTGTCACTGAATCAGATTGTGCCCAAATAAATGAGTTGTTTGTATTGTGTCTTGCAGCACTCAATAATTTTCCTCTCACACAGAAAACTTTTGGTAGCTGAACATTATAATTTAAAAAAAAATAATAATTCTCTCCCTACCCACATACTCACCGTCCAGATTTGGGGTGTATTTTGAATTCTTAGCCAAAGCATTAGAATTTAGACCTATAATTATTATTAATAATAATTTATAGCTTCCTTATTAGGTAGCTTAATTAAACTTACCAGAGCTGCTAAAGACTTCTTGAAGGAAATTAGATGAGAGTTTGCTAGTTTAGCCAGTGTATTCCAATCAAAGAAACTGGACATAGTGCCCAGTGTTAAACTAATCTAAAGTTGCAGAGGCCAAATGCGGAAGAGTAGTTAACAATAGGCTCCGGGATGAACAAGAAAGTTGTAATGCCTCTATCCACATCCTTGCCATCTAGTCACACTTGTACAGGCATGACGATACCCGTGTGTTGGTACAAACAGAACTGTGTTTTTTGTGAAGCGTATCAATGGTATGAGGTCATATCAAGAGCCAGGCAGTGCAAGATGTCACGTCTGAGAGTATTTCTTTCAGGTAGCCTTTTAAAAGCTGAAGTTACTAACTTTGTTATATAAGGCAAAGGGTTAAATTAGAAAAGTCTGGTGCTTTAAATATCTTTTTCAAAGACTACATAATCTGGTGTAGGCTAACTGTAATGACATAATCCAAAAATAGCCAATAGTCTTCTCCTCAATGCTCATCCTTGCTGCAGTTCTGCAGCTAAAGAATGGCAAATGCTAATCTCCTCAGGATGTTAGAGGACATAACCGTATCTGTCTGTGACATGGCACAGGAGAGACCTCTAGGGTCTTTCATGTTTGAATTTGGAGCAGGAGGTTAATCCATGTTCAAGTACCATGATTTTAACTAGAATACATGTTAAATGTTTGATCCACGGCTTTAAATTACAAGAGGGGAGATCTCCTCTCTAAGCGGGCAGGCATTCCCTCTTTTGTAGTAGGATGCACAGGCCTAGTCAAACTGGATTTTGTCTAAAGGATTCTGCTTGACCTGGTGTCAGTGATAAGATGGGAGGCTGGGGTTTTGGGAGGTATGTGGAGGTTTGGTTTGTTGGTGGGTTTTTGTTTTGTTTTGTTTTTGTTTTTTAATGTAACAGAATGTCTGCAATTGAAAATGCAAATGAAATCACTTACCCCTATGCAAGTGTGGCCAAAAAGGCAGCCTCAATGTAACAGCAACCTCTCTGTTGTCGAGTTGTTTTTATAGGTATTATCACTAATAAATAAGACTAAGAAAGAAGATGAAGTAGCTTTAGGGATGTGTTATGTAGTACACAGCTATGCCTCAGCTGTTGATTTTGTTTTTTTGGAAAGAAGAGTTGAGTATATACAGTAGTGATTCTAGGGTGCCTGGTGTTGTGCTGAAAATGTAATACTTGTTTTTCGCTGATAATTCACTGAGTTTTTTAACTTTTTAACTTCCACATATTTTAAGAGCCTTTTCTTTTCAAAGCACATTTAATCCTTATAAAAGATTAATTTTCACACACAAACTCTGGTTTTAAGGATGATTTGATTAATGAGGTCTGTGTTCTTCTTTGTTTAAGTGTTTCTTAATCTCTTTTTGTCAGGGGCCAGTTTTCTCTTCAGGTTAGTTCAAGATGGCAGACCAGAGGCAACGTTCGCTCTCTACCTCTGGAGAATCGTTATACCACGTGCTGGGGTTGGACAAGAATGCCACTTCAGATGACATCAAAAAGTCATACAGGTAAAGGTTCACATTTTACACCTGTTGCCCAATAGCACAAATAGCTTTAATTAAGTGTTCAACAGATTGCCTATTTATGTATAGGCTCGAGTTGATTTATTTAAACCTTTTTCAAGAAAAACTTGTAAGAAAACCAGTGAAGACATGGTTGCTTCTTGCAAAAATTGGTGTGAAAGCATGCCTACGCTTCAATTCTCAGATGTGCAGTATCATTCTGAAAGGCCTTTATCTAAAGTTGATGTATTGGCAAGGTTTTGGTAGCGGGGGCGTTACAGGGGTGGCTTCTGTAAGAAGCTGCTGGAAGCTGCCCCTGTGTCCGACAGAGCCAATACCAGCTGGCTCTAAGACAGACCCACCGCCGGCCAAGGCTGAGCCAATCGGTGATAGTGGTAAGGCCTCTGTGGTAACATTAAGAAGGAAAAAAAAGTTGCGGGACAGACAGAAACGGCAGCCGGAGAGAGGAGTGAGAACATGTAAGAGAAACAACCCTGCAGACACCAAGGTCAGCGAAGAAGGAGGGGGAGGAGGTGCTCCAGATGCCGGAGCAGAGATTCCCCTGCAGCCCGTGGTGAAGACCATGGTGAGGCAGGCTGTCCCCCTGCAGTCCATGGAGGTCCACGGTGGAGCAGATCTCCAGCCGCAGCCCAGGGAGGACCCCATGCCGGAGCAGGTGGGTGCCCAAAGGAGGCTGTGACCCCGTGGGAAGCCTGCGCTGGAGCAGGCTCCTGGCAAGACCTGTGGATCTGTAGAGAGAGGAGCCCATGGAGCAGGTTTTCTGGCAGGACTTGTGACCCCATGGGGGACCCATGCTGGAGCAGTTCGTGAAGAACTGCAGCCCGTGGGAAGGACCCACGTTGGAGAAGTTTGTGGAGGACTGTCTCCCATGGGAGGGAACCCATGCTGGAGCAGGGGAAGAGCGTGATGAGTCCTGCCCCTGAGGAGGATGAAGCGGCAGAAATAACGTGTGACGAACTGACCGTAAACCCCATTCCCCGTCCCCCTGCGCTGCTGGGGGGGTAGGTAGAGAATCCAGGAGTGAAGTTGTGCCTGAGAAGAAGGGAGGGGTGGAGGGAAGGTGTTCTGAGATTTGGTTTTATTTCTCATTACCCTACTCTGGTTGGTTGGTAATAAATTGAGTTCATTTTCCCCAAGTTGAGTTTGTTTTGCCTGTGATGGTAATTGGTGAGTGATCTCTCCTGTCCTTATCTCAACCCACAAGCCCTTTGTTATATCTTCTCTCCCCTGTCCAGCTGAGGAGGGGGGAGTGATAGAACGGCTTTGGTGGGCACCTGGCATTGAGCCAGGGTCAACCTGCCACAGTTGAACAGAGTTTTAAGACGGTGTGATCAGAGTTAAATTCTTCATGTCACGTAGCCTTGTGTCTGGCTTACAGGGATCACAGATGTGCAGTACTGCCCTTTTGTCCATAGTTTCCAATTCTGGCACAGTGGGGTATAGATTAAAGATGCAAATAAGGATGAAGACTGAGTATCAACAATGACTTTTTTCTAAAAATCCATTCAAAATTTCTTATTCCTTGTGGAGTTACTATTTTAAAGAGGATTTTTTTCTTTATTTCTTTTGTTATAGAGTTAGATGCATGAAGTGACTTCATACTGACCAAATAAAAACAAAAAAAAAGTCCTGTAACATCTTCCCTTTCCACATTCCCCCAAAATCTGCTTAAAAGCTATTGCTGCTTCACCTTAAGCATGAGCTGCAGTCTTGCAGGCTATTTGACAAGTGGCAATGTATTTAACATTACACTAGGGGTCAGTAGTAATCTTTACATGAGGATACTCTTTTTCGAAGTTGTTTTCTTTTAGTCTTTAAAACTTTACCATAACTTTTTCCCTTTCAAAGTTACATCTTAATACTGATGGCAACTATATGGTGAAGTTGATGAATAAACTGGTTCCACAGATTCTCAGAAATAAGCTGTGTCTTCCTAAAACCTTTAAGTGGAAGTTTGAATCTGTAATCTTCAAGCTTTAGCAACTGGAAAATAATTTTACTTTCTTGGGGGAAAAACTGCAACAGTTTTTCCTTTGGAGAAATGACCCAACTAGATCCTAGGGTGACATGTCGCTGCTTCAAACTTACCTGAACCTTTATCTAATCTTGTTTCCTCTGCTGCACCTTTACAAAAGGAGGACTGACCGCCTCTTGTTTTCATTCCATTTGAACATTTTTTGCTGGCCTGTGGGCTATGGGGTTTGTGTACATGTAGGAAACGGGGAAATGAAAAATATTTATTTATTGCAGCCTAATAGTAGCTAAGCCCTTCCCTCTAATTATAAAAACTGTAATTTTCAGTCCTTACTGAGGCTACGGCATTAGTGGCAGCTGTGGACGTTATTTACTCGAGCAGCATCATTCACAGTTTGAGTGTTTCAAGTGCTCACTCAATTTATTGTTTGAATGTTGTGATATATTTACATGCGCATCCACATGTGTGCTTGCATAAATCTTTATTTTATGTTTGTCTAAACATTTCCCCACTGCAAAGTTGACATGTGTAAACATCTGCAGGCTTCTAGTGTATTTCTCAAATATGGGACTTTGTGGTAATTTTCTGTAGGAGGACAAGTACCTTTTTTGGTGTGGCATACAATTCTGTATCATTTTTCTACTTGTGAGCACATTTTTTCTGTTTATAAGGAGGTGTTGGCCAGTTATTTCTACTGATTTCTATAAATAGCCTGAGCCATGCCAGAACTAGCAAATTTATCAATGCTTAATCTGATTTTTTTTGTGCTATGCTCAAAGACCTCTGGGGACTGTAAACTGCTGTCATTTAGCTGTAAGAGATGTAGCATGATTAGGGGAGGTACGTTGTGATTTCCTGGTATCTCGAAACTCTGAAGTGTTTTCTATTCTAGCAGGCCATGAACTGAAAAGTACTTTGTTCCTGCACAGGAATTGGTGAATTAACCACAAGTGATTGTCTGTTCTATTTTTGTGTTTAGATGCTGCGGATTAGCTGTGGTAGCTTGCTTTTATTTAGTGTTCGGTACGACATCTTAGACTTGTGCTGTGTCTTTTTTCTGTTAGGTTGGCCTTTGCTTTAGCAGGAGCAAAACTTACTGGTGGAAATTGCTGGAGCCGAGGCGTAAAAAAAGGCTACTACCTTCCTTCAATGTTTCTCTTTTTTTCCATTGGATTTCTGAGGCCCAAATCTAACAGTCTGAAGTCAATCCTGTGAATTAAGTTAGACACTGCTGTAGCCTTTTGTTATCATCTAAGGAAGAATCATCAGTGAAGTTGAATCACAGATGAAGGAAACCAACTGGAACTTGAAAGTCTCCCTTGAGTGACAGGCTATGGAATGAAAAAAAATAAAATATCAAAAACCAGGAACCCAAATCGCAGTTTTTAATCTATAACGATCTCTTTTCTCTTTCTGCAGGAAACTGGCATTGAAATACCATCCCGATAAAAACCCTGATAACCCAGAGGCAGCAGAAAAATTTAAAGAGATCAATAATGCACATGCAATATTGACCGATGCCACAAAGCGAAACATTTACGATAAGTATGGTTCTCTGGGTCTGTATGTAGCAGAGCAGTTTGGTGAAGAAAATGTGAACACGTACTTCGTGCTATCCAGCTGGTGGGCAAAGGTAAATGAAAGTGCAAAGAGAAGTTATCCTGGACTGGCATTTAAAACCCTTGAAGAGCTTCATTTGATAATTGTGTTTGTTTCTACTTTTGGAAATTGCTGAATTTCTGACACCTGGTAATTAACCTCTTACTGTGTTGCCATCTCTAGTTCAGAACTATTCTTCTGTTACCTTTCAGTGATTCAGGCCTAATAAGCAAGACTTATATTACTAAGAGAATCTTGGACCCTTCTAGTGGATTTAAAAGTGAGGAGGATCTGGGGGGGTATTCTTTCTGGTAGTATCTGCTAAATGATTTTGCAGAACAAGTCCTGACTGTGAACTTGAGCTAACACAGGAGATCCTCTTTAGAAGTATGCTTACAAAATTACTCAGAGGCTTCCCTGAACAAATGTCACTTCTTCAGCTCTTCTCTGATGTGAGAGACTGCAGGTTATTTGTTCACTTGCCTATCCTTGTTTCTCGTGCAGCAGAAAGAGCATCACCAGTATACCAGAATTACACTGCAAGCTCATGTTTCCTCACAAATGCATGCAAAAAGCTGTTCAAAAGTATTGCATGCATGCAGTAGACGTAACAATTATTGTATAGATGCCTTCTAGGAGTCTTCTATCAGTACCAAGGAATTGCTGTATTTTACTGAACTATTTTTAAGCAGAATATGCTTCTGTCTTTTTAAGTAACACATTTTAAAATCACCACATTTACTCAAAAGTGCAAAAACCCTGTATGTTGCACATTTACACATTTCTCATACTGAAATTGTCCAGGCTTTTGCATTTCGGAGTTCATGTGATTGCAGTCTGCTTGCACAGAAAGTAGTAAGTAAAAGACAGTGTAACTATGAAACTGAAGTATGAAATCATAACTGCACCAGCTTACTTTAGTGACATGATGTTGTTCACAGTGCTTTATGGGTGATTAAAACCTTTTCCTAGTCTTGGCATTTCGTTTCATGGGTTCATTTTTCTACCCCTTGCCAGCATTATCTCCACCTCTTGATTCCCCTGCAGTAAGAGAATAGTTTTATCAGAGTGCTTGTTTGCTATTTTTCAAATTACTTTTTCAAACAATTGTGCAGTGACCTATATGAAGATTTTAATTTTGCCCATTGTCACCGTGATAAGCACCTGGCAGGCTTGACTAGCTTTGAGTTGCCTTGCTCGCGTATTGGTAGCATCTAACCTCAGCACCCCAAACTTCGGTATGGTGAGCTTTGCAGCCATGCCTTCGACCTGAGTAGGTCGAAGTCCCTGCTGTAGGTACATCGCGACCTGTGCATCAACTAGCTAGCGTAAATCTTTTCCAGGGTTATTTATGTATGCTACAATCTGTCCTAAACTATTGTACCTCTGGATTTTAATACAGATACACTTCTTAGGCCTCTATCTTCTTCCAGAGGTAGCAGAATAGTCCACTTTAAACCTAAATTGTAGGAGTTCTTCAAGTAAACCAGGTTGGCAGTATTCACCTGAGTATAAAATGTTGGGAGCTGCAGCCATATTTTGCACATATTTTTAAATATATCTTGGTGATGAAGTATAAAACTAGCTAGTAAGTTCTGTGTCCACATTGCTGTATTTTTGGTCTCTGGTTCCTGTATCTGAGTCTCACAAACTCGGTGATCATGGTGTGGTAGGCACAGGTTATGAATATTTCTTTGTCTTCTGTCCTCTGCAGGCCTTGTTTGTGTTCTGTGGGCTCATCACAGGCTGCTATTGCTGTTGCTGTCTGTGCTGCTGCTGTAATTGTTGCTGTGGGAAGTGTAAACCTAAACCTCCTGAGGGTGAAGAGCAGGAATACTACGTCTCTCCAGAGGACTTGGAGGCACAGTTGCAGTCAGATGAAAGGGGTAGGTAAAAACCCTGTGAGATTTCTGGAATAACCGTCAGTCTCTGACAGAGTGCTTGGTGTGCTGGTTGAGGAGCAGCGCTTGCTATGTAGAGATCAGCACAGGTCTTGGATTGTAGATGGTGGTGAGGGAATACTTGTGACACGAGTTACGTGGGTGACGCCAACACCGGAGATACGGTTGCTGAAAACTCCTGGAGGGTCTTTGTTGAACTTGGTGGGGTCACCTTCAGAGCTGATGGTGATGACGATCATTTAGCTTCTTTCCCACATCACTGGAGTAACATACCAGCCAGACACGTGCAATTATAGAAAGGGGCTCTTTTACCCCAAAGGATGGGGGGTGTCAAGGTGGCTTTTTTAACTGTGTTAGATGTAAAGGAAATGGGACTGCTATCCTAGCAGCTATATCTAATACTGTTAATGAAGATATAATGCTATTCCTGTAGAATTAAACCAATCATTTAAAAAATTGTAGAGCCTTGTGTATGCTCTGATCATGTTTTTAACAGGCATTGCTGAATGGTGGGCAAGGATCAGCTGCTTTTACGTGAAGAAGGAAATATAAAAATGTTCCACATGTAGATTTGAGTTGAATGGTATTGTGTGTGGACTGAAAAACAGTAAATTAACATCATGCTCTTAGTGGAGTGTAAAATTGTGTTATCAAAGTGTTGTAGGGAGATGTAACTTATGCTTACCAAAACATACAATGCTGGTTTTTTTTCCTTAGTGTGCTAAGCCTTTTGTCTTCGCTTTTCAGAGGCCTCAGACGCACCTATTGTGATACAGCCAGCATCAGCCACAGAGACAACCCAGCTCACAGCTGACTCTCACCCCAGCTACCACACTGATGGATTTAATTAAGTTAAGGAAACACTGTAATTAGAATGGATTAAAAAAATACATGGCCAACTCAACACTAGATTCATGAACATTAGAAGTAGAGAATGGGGAGGGGGAATAATTCTGCCACAGTAAGAAGGCAGCTTTCCAACCTGCCGAAAATATTTTGTAATCCCTTCAGCCTTTTGTCACCTTTCAGTGTCGTATCTTGATGATACGTGAAGTGCTGTAGCATGCAGTATTTAAAGCAGTTTAGCTACGGTCTTATTTGTTTCCTTTGTGTTTTTTTTTTTTCCCTGTTGTTTTTTTTTATAGCATGTATGGAGTTATGTTAAATGTCTGTGATGTAATGTATTGAGTTGTCACAATATAAGTGTGATGGAGACATTCTGCATTTTAAGCAGTGGTACTGGCCTAAAAATGAGATTTAAGGTGTTTCACAGAAGCCACCATTCTTCCGTACAGCTGAGCTGTCAAAGACCTTTAAAAGTCCATGATTTTCATTTGAGTGCAACAAACCAATTCTTTTATTCCTCATTCTATTCCTGCGTTGTTACCTAAGCAAGTTTACAAAGCCAAGAACCAAAAAATGCCAGTCCTACAGAGCTGGAGTTCTCTCTAATGCTGGTTTTCAGCTTAAATAAATCTACCTTGAAAAATAAAAAGGGAGAGTTTCCAATCTTTGAACAGTAAATTGATGAACAGCTCTTTACGTGTAAGGCGATCTTCAGTGACAATATAGCCGCAAACTGTAGTTTGCCACAAAACCAACTGTGAATGGGCTTATTTAGTGGTATCAGTGGGATTTTAACTTCAAGCACAATTCTGTTTTGGTTTGAGTTCAGTCGTTTTCCTGAAATGCTAAAGACCAAATCATGCAGCTTTTTTTTTTTTTTTTTGAACACATGAGAATCTTAAAGTGAAATTTGTTAATTGGTTTTCACTGAGCAAGTGAGTAAAATGCAGACAGTAGGCAACAGCATAAAAGGTTTTAAAAAAAATTGGGTTTAAAAATTTTGTTCTAATAATTTGAGATTTTAATAGACAAATGGGGTATTACGTGTCTTTTTTTAAAGCTTTTATAATACACTAGCCCTTTAATTTTCTCATGAACATCTTTGAGGAGTACTTAAATGGATTTTTAAGAACAAAACACCTTTCTTTGTGTTTATATTATATAATTTGCACATTGTCTTGCATTTAGACTTGTTTACACCAGTGTTTTTCTTTTCCTCAGAACAACTATGGGGAAACCATTGAAAGGTTTCCTGTACTATTGTGAAACCAAATCATGTTTGAATACTGCTCTGGTAACTGTGGTTTATTGAGGTTTAACTGTTAAAAAAAGCATTTTAGGCAGCTACTGAATTGCTGGTATATTTTGTTGTTAATAATCCTGCTTTAGATGATACAAAGTCAGGATCTAGAACAGCTACCAGAGAACCTACACTTGGCACTTTTAGCAGTTAATTACAGCCTCTTTAATTTTGATCTTTATGGTTTTGTATCACAATGCCTCTACTGTCCTTTGTATCCCCTGTCTCCCCTTTTCATTTTTCACCTATTTCTGTTGAGAGGCTATTTACAGCTTTCCACCCTGTGTTTGCTGCTCTCTTACAAGATCCAGGTGTTACTTTTGAATGGGGTAAAGCACTGTCAGTCTGTAAGAAAACCACCAGAAAAGGAAGGCGACTCTCCTGCCAGAGAATCATTCTGAATATATTTTCACACTATCTTTCCATGAGCCAAAAACGATGGAGCACGTAAGATGTGACGTGAAACCGTGTTAAACATACTGGGTAGAAGAAAATGTTCTTAACACGGTCTCAATGCTAAGTGAGGGATGTTTGCAAAATCAGACTTTCCTGTAGCTGTAGGTACAAGCACATGTTTGTTGCCTGCATGTGAGCTTGTTGCAAATAAGCATGCTTGTGATACCACATCAGGTCCCAAAAATTCAAGAAGAAATGTTACTTTTAATTAACTGGCTAGATTTCAGTAGCACACTTAAGTCGTTTCTTCCTCGTTGATAGTCCTTTTAGACCTGGAACTTGGTGGTTTACTGGAAGATACTTTTAACTTTTTCTGTCTGGAAAACTCTCTTGGGTGGCCTTGAGGACAGTTGTGTATGATTTGGCTTGAGGTCCTTATTTAATTAAAGTCTTTGTTTGACCCCTTGGAATGAAAAGCAATTTTTTAGGCTTAAAAAAATAATGTCACATTGGCTATCCTTGTAGATTTTGCCTGAAGCCTGTTCTTGATGTTGAATTGCACGCTGGAGTATGCTTGAATATCTGCAAGCTTTCTCCCGTAAAAACTCACTGGTTAAAATTGCCCTTATCTGTGCAAATTATGTTCTTGGTAAAAAAGAAATTGTGTTAGGGGGTTTTGGGGGCTTTGTAAATAAGCAGAGTTGGTCAGAGTGACTTGGTAGAATGAGGGAGAGGCTGTTTCCATTGTTTGTTGTATTCTGTGCCCCCCCGTGTTCATCTAGATGGGTAACACAAAGCCAGTTGTTTCGATTGTTGGGAGCAGCTGTGACCCCCGAGGCTGGGGGCTGGTTGTCAGTGTTAAGTTGGAATAACACTCTCTTATTACTTAACCCCTCTGGGCTACTTCCACTGAACTAGAAAGGCTGGCAGGAGGTTGTGGCTCCGGGGGGGCTGCAATGCACCTGGAGTCGCTCCGCACGCTCCTGACATCAGAACCGAAATGTGGGCAGCAAATGAGGGTTAGAGGCGATACCGTTACCTGTTGTTTTGCACTGCTTGGGAAAAGATTACATCCAGGGTAAATTGGCTGGTTTAGTTCTTCGCTTAGCAAGGCATGAGTTTGAAAGAGACTGCTTTCCTTTCAGCTGCATCTGTGGGTGGTGTGTGAATAGTAAATTAGTCTGTATGCTGTTACACGCCAGAATGATGTTAGATACTCCAAGGGAAACTACTCTAAGATCCCAGTTACAAGGAATGACAGGAAAACACATTTTTAGATGAATATTCATGGGTTTTGAAACTGTTTTAAGTTTGCCCATGTTACTCTATAATCTCTGAAGTTAAGATTATTGTGTATTAATGTAGTTCTTCTTGAAGTATATAAGAAAGCTATTTAAACATTGCTTCTTTAAAACAAAACTTGTGTAATTGGAAGATAAGTAGGTTAAAGCCCACTTTTCTTCTGCTCTTGTAGGTGAGGTACAAGAGTAACCCAGGCTCTAACATAAGTTGCACTTCAAAATGGCCAAGCTGAATCCTAGTAAATGCAAAGTTGTATTGGAAATAATGGTTAAAAATCTGGCACAGAAAATCACTCAGCAGTTCTGAGCTTGGGCAGATGGAGCTGCAGTGTCCCCACCAGAACTGCAATAGCACAGCATTGCAGGCACTGCAGCCCCTTACCTGGCTTATATGCAGAATGTTTCCTTCCAAAATTAAACCTGAGCACTGTTGATCTCTGTTCAGCGTGTTGCCAGAATTAAAACTTGAGCTTTGACTTTTTTTTGTTTGTTTTGTTTCTTAAAAGTTGTATCATTTTTTACAAGTTGCCTGAGACCTCCGTTTCCGTAGTTCAGCCCACCTCCATCTAGCTCATCGAACCTCTTCAGCACCAATTTTCTTAGCACTCGTAGCTCCTCCTGACGAGGAGGAGTATCGGGGAGAATCTGATCTGGAGAGCTTCTGCTGGCTGGTGTTTAGGACCACTGACTTTATTCCCGATCCGTGTTGTGTGGAGAGCCATTCGTAGCTTAGGGTGAGTAGGGAAAGCTACTGCCTCGCTGCAGAGAGTGCTCAGGTACCATCCCTCCTGGCTGCAGCCAAGCTGCTGGAGAAGGAGGTGGTGCTGGACCTGCAGTGCCCCGTCCTCCCTGGGGATGGGGAAATCCCCAACGCACTGTAGTACAACCAATTGTACGCTTCACTTGAAGTGAATGAAGGGGCATTGCACCCGTTAAATGCCAGTTTCATTTTGTTAGTGATGTTTGTAGGAAATTCTTAAATATTTATCTGTATATAAATTTGTTTATGTAAACCTCAGTGGCGTCCAATAGGGTGTAGATTTCTGCTGATTCCATGCAGTGATGTTTTAGAGCCATGTTACCTTTTTAGTCTTATTTTTAGATTTGTAATATTTTTAAACTGCTTTAGATATTAGTGCTCATAGTGTTCTTAAAATGTGATGCTCTTTGAGATTTGGGTGAGCACAGCCTGCAGTCTGAACAGAAACGCCCATTGAGGAGGAAGGCAGGAAGGCTTGAGCACGGTACTGAGAAAGACCGAGTCCTGCAGTGGATCTGTGGTCAGGGGAGTACAGTCTTCAAACCCTTCGTGTCAGCCTATAAACACTACAGGTGTAACCAGGGCAGGAGCCTGACTGGAAAGATATTCCTGTCCCATCTGTAAAGCGGTTGTGTTGTGTGGTGTAGAGGGACACCAGTGTGCTTTCGGGGGGTTTATATCAGAGCGTTTGTATCGTATACACTCCTTGAGAGAGGTACCTGCTTTTCTCAACTAGTTTGTGCCCTTCGTCTGTCTGGTGCCCTTCGGTGTTCTTGACATTTCCAGATAATTTAGGAAATGTGTTTGTGCTGCAGGTTTTTTCTACCCGATGCAACTGGGTATTGGCGTCATTTTTAACAGGAGATTCTTGCAAGGTGGTCAGGGAGGCTTTTGCAGCCCCCGCCTCATGTTAATAATTCTGGATGCTGTTTAAATACGCATTAATCTTAGAGCACTGAAACGTAACCCCCCCCCAGTGCAAGGGTTTATAGTGTAAGGTTGGTATAAACTTAACATGCTTAATCATTTGATGCCGCTTCTCTGTATTATAGTGGAAATCATCTAGTTTGTAGTGTATCATTACACCAACAACTGCTTAAAGTATCTTGAAAGAAATGTAACTGATAGCTAACAAGGTGGCAGGAAATTTGTCAGTGTTCAAGTCCTGCAAGAACCATGGGCTGCTCCTCGTCCTGCGCTGGGAGGCTTACGTGCTATCTGGGACTCAGCAAGACTGAAATTCCCATTTCCTTCCAAGAAGATGCTTTCTTTACTGTGAGAAGAAACTGTGTGAGGGAAGCTGTCTGTCTTTGACATTTGCACAAGCCAAATGCCGTCAATCTGGAAGACAAACCTTCATTTGGAAATCAAATGCCAATGTTACACGCGCAGTTAATTTTTTTGTTAAAAGGATAGATGCTGGGAATTTCTGGTGGTTATATGTATATACATGTATATGTATAGAGGAAGCTCTTATATAAAATGGCCATTCATTCCCAAGTGCTGTTGTCTTCTCTGCTCCCTTTCCCCCACAGCCAGCCACGTGGGTGTACTCTTGCAGTCTGTGAGCGGTTGCTTGTCATACCCTTCCAAAAATTTTAACGATCTACTTGAATTCCGTGAGGTGCCCTTTGTCCCCGGCCCCTCCGGCTGGAGCTGGGCTTTGCCTGCTCCGGCTTTCCTTCGGAGGAAGGAAGGGAAACCTGACGGTAACAAGGAGGGCAAGGGGCCATCTCTGGAATGGCTTGGACTTGTGCAGGCTGGTATGTGGGGTGTTTTAAATGTGGTCGATGTGCTCATTGCTAGAGGTGTGATAGAATACATTGATTTGGGTTTTTTTCCTTATACTCGTTTTCACCACATTGTACTCTCCAAAGTGGG